CTGCTGAGCAACGTTGCTCACTCCATCCTGCTCTACGGATCGCCAGTATGGGCTGAAGAGATGAGCGTGTCGGGCTGGACGGAACTCCTCAAAGTACAGAGACGTATCTGCCTGAGAGTGGCATCCGCATACTGCACGACATCAAGGGACGCAATAGCGGTCATAACTGGGATCGCCCCACTGGACCTACAAGCGAAGGAGAGAAAAAATCTGCACGAAAAGAAAAGGAACCCGGAGCTGGTAATACCACCCGCAAACACCCTGGAAATGTGGCAGACGAAATGGGAAAACAGCGGGGACGGCAGATGGACATACGCCCTCATCCCAAACATCGGTACCTGGACAGGTCGCCGACACGGAGAAATAAATTACCACATAACCCAAGCTCTGAGTGGTCATGGATGTTTTGCCGCTTACTTGAAGAAATATGGGAAATTGGAAACGTCAGAGTGTTGGTACTGCGGGCACGCAGTAGATGACGCTGAACACACAATATTCCACTGTGACGCGTGGCACGCAAGAAGGAGACAAGCGGAGATGACCATGGGGACGGATCTAACCATTGAAAACCTGATCCCAACAATGCTCGCCTCAAAGGAGAACTGGTAAATTACAACAACAATGATTGAAACGATCATGAGGAAAAAAGAAGAAGAAGAGAGAAAGAGGCAGGCGGCTGCACAAAACTAAGGTCACACCCAAGCACGAGAGAACCAGGGCGGCGGACTCCGGTCGGCCCGGCAAGAGGATCCCGGAAACATGCACGAGTAACCCAGGGCGGCGGGCTTAGGCCGGCCCACGAAGAGGATGCAGAACGGGAAAACCAGGGCGGCGGACTCCGGTCGGCCCGCCAAGAGGACACAGACAACCAGAGAAGGAGAAAAAACATTAGAAAATAATTGTAATATTTAACTTATTGTGAAGGGGGCTATATGGGGTACTGTCCCATATAACTCTCATTAAAACGATGTTATTGTTTTGCCAATAAATGATGGGGCATGGGGGTGAAATGACCGAAAGGTTGGTGCCACCCCATGCCTCGATACCACGTAAAAAAAAAAAAAAAAAAAAAAAAAAAAAAAAAAAAAAAAAAAAAAGGTTAGGTTAGGTTAGTTCAGCGGTGGCTGTTAGGTTAGGTTAGGTTAGGTTAGGTTAGGTTAGGTTAGGTTCGTCCCACAGCGCTAAAGAGCATGGCCGACAAAGCATCAGAGCGAATAGAGGAACTGTCATCTAGCCTACTAGAGGCAACCTTTTTTTTTTTTTTTTTTTTTCACTGTTAGAATCGATAGCCAGGAGGGAACTGCTTGGGCATTTCTTCCTCCCGGCCACCATCGTTTATTGTGAACAATATATATACAAAATACATACGGAAAACACAATTTGCATATTATATTATACATCAAAATAGGGGGCCTCTAACCCCCTTGTTTTGGTCTTCGACCCACATATTAAAAAACTTAACTACAGTTGTTACTTAAGTCTTGCCTTCCTGTAAGCCTCACATCTCCCGCTTCCTGGGTAGTGGTCCGCCTGTCGCTTTATATCTTTGCATAGGACACAATTGGGTGCACTCCGACACAGCTTCGCAAGGTGGCCTTCCCCACCGCACGTCATGCACAATTTCCTCCTATCGTGGCCTCTGCATGTGGATGCCCTGTGATTGTAGCCGTGGCATCTGTAGCATCTTATTACTGGTTTACCTTTCAGACGAACTCCACACGATATCAGTCCGACTAGAACTCGACCTGTGGCAATGATTTTGCCCGCTATCTCGGCTGAGACTGAGACGAGTGCCCTCTGCGTTGCTCCGAACGAGGGTCCCATCTTTGTCACGTGAACTTCTTCGGGAATTGTCCCGTATCGGCAAATTCCTGAGACGACATCTTCTTCTTTTTCTTCTTGACCAATGCCGCGGATCTCGATGAGAGGCGGCCTGCTGGACTCCTTCACTACCACATCACCACCGAGAACATTCTCAATTTCCCGTTTCAGCTTTTTGACATCTTCTGCTGCCTTGGTCCCTTTGCCGACAAACATGAAAATTCCGTCTTCCTTGGTCCTCTTCATTGATTTAATCTCCACTCCTATTGTTTCCAGGTCGATTTCATCCTTCAATTTTTTAACCATATCGGCATAGGTGCTTGCTCCTTTGCCCTTTGATATAGTGACGCCTTGGGAAGGGGCAACATGGGTATTTTTGTTCCCCGGTTTCATCTTTGATTTCTTCTTCTTCCTCTCGGGGACATTTCCTCTTTCCTCCTGTATCGTCTTTTCAAGTTTAGTTGTCTTCAAGTGGCTTCGTTGTCTGCCATGCCCTTGGTTCGTGCCGGTTTTGCTGCTGGTCTGTTGTCCAGTATCCTGTTCATCGCTACTTCTTGGTTTCAGAACAGCCTCAGTTTCCGTGCCGACTCCTATGTCAGCTGTTGACACTGCCCTTAGGCTATGCGTAGTGCTGACTTCTAGGAGGCTAGAAGACAAATCTACAATTCTGTCCGATGATTTGTCGACAAAGGACTTCAGTGCTTCGCTTCTTTTTTGAACCCTGCCCATTTGTTTGTGCAACTCAATACACCAGCCTTTCATCTCCTTGTGTAAGTTTCTCGTTGCCAGGGAAAAGGTGCACATCTTTTCCACCACAGTTGCGAGTTTTCCGACGCTTGAGTCCAGGTTACCCCAGTACTCAAATAGCCAGCTGGAGAGATCTTCATTTGTTATATCCTCTTCGGGTTTTTCAAAACACATATCTTCATAATCACTCTTCATTCCGGGTTCCAGTTTTCCAGTCTCTTTGCCAGTTATGGACGGGCCCCCCCCTGAATCCGTGGGGCCCTTGGTCAGGGGTACAGTCTTGGCATTTTTATCCATGTTTGATTTTTGTGGAAAATTCTAACCAGCGTTTTAGCAATACCGCCAGGGGGATTTACAGCTTCCTTCTGGGACCGTTTGCTAGCGTAAGCAGGTGGTTGCCATACCTACCACCCCCAACCGGTTAAGGTCAGAGGCGGCTCTGGAGGCTCCAACTCCGACTGGTTAAAGTCGGAGCCGGGGAGTTGGGTACCTCTTGGCACCGACCGAAGTCGGTGAGCCCCCCCACCACGTCAAGGTGGGTCCCGTCGGGGGGGACTAGAGGCAACCTAACCTAACCTAACCTAACCTAACCTTTACGCGACGCTGCAGTCGGTCGTCGATACCCTGTTCCCGAAACACCAAGCGAGAACGGACGGCCCGCTGGTCCCTGCGGATCCTGTAGTCCTGTTCACGGCTTGGGAAGTGGACTTGGCGGTCGAGAGGGCGGGCAGCAAGAACAAAGCCCCAGGCCCAGACGGACTCACTGGCAAGATACTCCGAGCGGTGCACAAGGCGCACCCGAACATCCTACCGGACCTATACAACAGCTGCCTCCGCAGTGGGACCTTCCCTAAGGAATGGAAGACCGCTAGGGTGGTGCTGCTGAAAAAAGGGAACAAGCCGGACGGTGTACCCTCTTCCTACAGGCCTCTCTGCCTGTTGAATGACGTCGGCAAGATCCTCGAGTTCCTGCTCGCGCGAAGACTAGAGGACCACATGTCGGACAGCGGTGGGCTCTCGGACAACCAGTTTGGCTTCAGGAAAAAGAAGTCCACGGACGACGCGGTACGTGAGTTACAGGCCAACCTCTTGGAAGGAGTCAACGAGGGTAAGTACTGCCTAGCCGTCAGCATCGACATCCGGAACGCATTCAACTCCATCAAGTGGTCGGACATCATGAACGCCCTGCTGGGGTGGAGCGTCCCGCAATACCTGCAGAACATGTTCAGGTCGTACTTCTCCGGAAGGACAGGAACGGTGCACGCGAACTGCGCGGAGGGTGGTACCCTAGATATAGAGATTTCCGGAGGCGTGCCCCAGGGTTCCGTCGTAGGCCCCCTCCTATGGAACGCTACGTTTGATGCCGTCCTGAGAACCGAGCTGCCCAGCGGAGCGAAGCTGCTGGGATTCGCGGACGACACGATGTTGGTCACCAGGGCCAAGTCGACCCAGGAGCTGGAAGAAGTGACCAATGAAGCACTGTCCCTGTTGGAGAAGCGGATCACTGACTTTGGCCTTCAGATCGCGGTGGAGAAGACCGAAGCCGTCCTCTTCACGTACAAGTACAAGTACACACAGCCCGCGATCAGACTGTGCGGCGGCGACATTCAACTCTCGACCGAGATGACCTATCTTGGGATGGTGGTTGACAAGTCGATGCTGTTCAAGGGCCATGTGAAGAGAGCGGCAGCCAGAGCAGCGGCTATCGGGAACCAGTTGGCAAGGATCATGCCGAACATGGGCGGGCCCCGAGAGGACCGACGACGGCTCCTGTCGTCGGTGGTGCATTCGGTGCTCCTATACGGTGCCCCTAGCTGGGCGCATACGCTGGAGATCGTGCCAGGAAACGTCCGGACCCTGAACAGAGCCCAACGGAGAGTTCTTCTCCGATGTGCCTGCGCGTACCGCACCGTCTCCGAGGCGGCAACTAACGTGATCGCCTCAACGCCGCCTGCAGACCTCTTGGCGAAGGAGAGAGAGACGGTGTTCGACCAGAGACGGGGCCCCGCAGCACCCACGGCAGGCAACGTTCCGAGGACCAACACAATGGAGGCGTGGCAGGAGAGATGGTCGACGGAGGAATCTGGCAGCTGGACCAGACGGTTGATCCCGGACGTCCGTCCCTGGTGCGCCAGGAGCCACGGGCTGACAACATTCCACCTGACGCAATTCCTGTCGGGACACGGATGTTTTGGCCAGTATCTGCACCGTATCCGGAAGCTGGACAACCCGAGGTGTGTGGACTGTCTCGCGCCAGTTGACGACGCAGAACACGCGATCTTCGTTTGCGATAGGTGGTGGCGTCGGAGAATGGAGCTGAAAGTTACTATCAACGACACATTCACTCCTGAGACCGTAGTGGGGAAGATGCTGGAGTCACAGTACAACTGGACGGCAGTAGAGCAATTCGTGAAGGAGGTGCTGACGAAGAGGGAATCCGAGGAAAGAGAACGGCAACGTCAAGAATAACACCCATAGCTAAGTTTGATTTTCTGTGGGCCGAAGGCCAATTTTTGGATGGTGTAGGGCCATCCATTTATTTGTAATTTTTATCAATTATGTATCCCTATGTATGATTTTTGTTCAATAAACGATGTGGGGGAGCTGACGAAATGCCTTAGGGCGTCTCCGGCACTCCACGATACCGTAAAAAAAAAAAAAAAAAAAAAAAGGTTAGTTCAGCGGTGGCTGTTAGGTTAGGTTAGGTTAGGTTAGGTTAGGTTAGGTT